TTTGAATGATGTTGGCCTTGATGGTACTGAGATCAACGAAGCACATCTGATGCTGCCGCAGACACTGAATGATCAGCTACGGGTGCATGCACGCAAGTTACGGGTCGGTCTGGCTAGTATTTGCCATCTGGCCTTTGCACAGGTGCTCGCTAGAGCTAGCGGTCTTGAAGCAGTAGTGTTCGGTACCGTGTTGCTCGGCCGTTTACAAGCCGGAGAAAAGAACCATAATATCATGGGGCCGATGATTAATACGCTACCATTGCGGATAAATATTGATGAGACGGAAGTCGAAACCGCTGTGCGCCATACGCACGCTCAGTTGAGTGCATTGTTGACACACGAACATGCACCGCTTGTGTTGGCCCAACGCTGTAGTGCAGTTCCAGCTGGTGTGCCGTTATTCAGTGTTCTGATGAACTATCGCCATAATCAGTACACAAGGCAGGTTAGTGCATCAATTCCTGGGGTTAGAGTTTTAGATGTTGAGGAGCGAACCAATTACCCACTAACCTTGTCGATTGAAGATGATGGTTATACACTAGGACTGACGGCTCAAGTATCTACTCCAATTTCAGCAATTCGAATCTGCGCCTACATGCAACAATCTCTGGAATCGATCAATGACGCAGTAAGGCAAACCCCTCAACAACCAATTCGAACACTGACAGTGGTACCACCTGAAGAACGCACGTTACTGCTACATACCTGGAATGAAACCACGATTACCTATTCACCTGTCCGATATCTTCATCAATTTTTTGAGTCACAGGTGGAACAGAATGGACAGGCGATCGCTGTGGAGTGTAACAGAGAGATCCTTAGCTACGCGGAACTCAACGCACAGTCCAACCAACTAGCACATTATCTAATCGTACGAGGCGTCAAACCAGATGATCGCATCGCACTCTGTATCAAACGGAGTGTGAAATTAGTTGTAGCTATACTTGGCATTCTAAAAGCCGGCGGCGCCTATGTACCATTAGATCCGGATTACTCGAGTCAACGGCTAACTAATATTTTACATGATGCTGGCCCTATATTTCTGTTGGCAGATGCTACTGGCCGAAAAGTACTCGGAGAACATCAAGTACCTGTTGTTGACTTGGAAAACCCGTTGCCTTCTGATTTGCCAATGGATAATCCGGATGCAATCAAGCTTGGACTCGATCCAGCCCATCTGGTCTATGTCATTTATACCTCTGGCTCGACAGGAACACCGAAAGGAGTAACGGTTGAACATCAGCAAGTTGTACATCTCTTTGAGGTTACAAAAGGCAAATTTGGTTTTAGCACAGAAGACAAATGGTGTTTATTCCATTCATTTTCTTTTGATGTGTCCGTATGGGAGATATGGGGTGCATTATCTCATGGTAGTCAACTTTCAATTGTACCATTCAGTGCCACTCGTTCAATGGACGAATTATATGACTTGATCTGTACTAGTGGTATTACTGTACTAAACCAAAGCCCTTCAACACTGAAAATGCTTATGAATGTGGAAAAGTTCAGTTCACGATCCGATAAACTTCGGTATGTGTTTTTTGGCGGTGAATCATTAGACCCATTAATTCTAAGGGATTGGTTTGAGAAATACGATAAAGGTCAAACAGTGTTAGCTAATATGTATGGTCCTACCGAGACAGTTATAATTGCCACATGTTGGATCTGTGATGGTGAAAACTCATTGGTACCAATCGGTCGTCCTCTTCCCAACAAGCAAATTTATCTGTTGGATGCTCATGGTGAGCCAGTTCCACTAGGAGCCGAGGGAGAATTGCACATTGGCGGTGATGGTGTGGCACGTGACTATCTGAACCGTCCAGAACTTACCGCGGAACGATTTTTACCCGATCCATTCAGTGATGATCCAGCAGCACGCATGTATCGTACTGGTGATCGAGTACGATATCTACCAGATGGTAATCTGATATATCTAGGACGCATCGACCAACAAGTGAAAATTCGCGGATTTCGGATTGAGCCTGGTGAAATCGAAGCCCACCTAGTCGCAAATCCTCAGGTGCGTGAAGCGGTTGTACAGCCCTACGGAAATGAATCAGATGTTCGTCTTGTAGCTTATGTGGTGGCCAATACCGATACGGATACATTAATAGCACAGGATTTACGCACGCATCTGTCAAAACTATTGCCTGACTATATGATACCAGCGGCCTATGTATGTCTACCATCCTTGCCTCTCACACCCAATGGCAAGCTAGACCGGCAAGCACTACCAATTCCGGATGAAGAAGCGTTTGCTCGCCAGAAATACGAACCTCCACAGGGCGAAATGGAAGAAAAATTGGCCGATATCTGGCGTCAATTGCTGAGCATTGAACATATTAGTCGACATGATAATTTCTTTGCGCTAGGAGGCCATTCTTTGTTAGTCGTACGGCTTCTAGAGGAGTTGAGAAAGATCGGACTTAATGCCACCGTTCGGAAAGTGTTTGATTCTCCCACATTGGCCATGTTAGCTGCAACACTCAGTCACTATAAATCTGTGAATATTCCGCCCAACCTAATTACAACAGACAGCACGGAGATTACCCCAGGAATGTTACCACTCATCAATCTTTCTCAGTCGGAGATTGATACAATTGTTGCACAGGTACCAGGCGGATTAGCTAACATTCAAGATATTTATGGATTGGCTCCTTTACAGAACGGCATTTTGTTCCATCATATAAAAACCGAACGTGGAGATCCATATCTGTTAGTTTGTCGTATGCAGTTTACT